CAAGCACCTTAGATAAAATGTTGGTATACCTCTGTGTTACTTTCATGTACTGTGGCTGTAATTTCTTTGGATGTTGTGCTTGTGGAAATTGTAGATGATAAAAGCAAACAGCCACCAAAATGTCTCCTCCAATGTACTTGACAAAATTAGCCAGAATTTGTCTTAGGTACACTCTTTAGCAATTTCTAAAATACGGGAAACGAACAATAGTAGACAATGTAAGCTTATGAAAATGCAATTACCAAATATATAAAAAGCAAACGTAGATTATCGATTCTTTATTCTTATTAATTCTTTTTGAAGTATAGGAAACGAAAAGGACCAAGCAGAGTCAGCAGCATTTTAGTAGATGTACACTGGAAGAAAAGCTAATCTATACAGTCCAAAACCTAAATTACACCCATGAACCATTTAAAAAGTAAAGATAATTAAAAGTTCTATTAACAATGCCCAAAATATACAAAGTCTCTTTTTGAATAATTAGGGTAATCAGTCAGGAAATCCTGGGAATTTTTGTTTCTTTAAAAATCTCACCTTATACAAAATACGAACTGTAAAGCGCCACCTAAAATATATATCTCCTACAAAACATACTGTCATGAAAGATAATAATTTAGGATAATATCAGTGATAATTATAGTGACATTCGTTATGTTAAAGTGAAATTGTCAATATGGCAGCTATACCAAGCTTTCTTAATATGAAGGAAAATCTACAGAGTGTAATATAAAAGTAAATCCTCGTATGGCAGCTCTCATGCATGGATATTTGGAAGAGACTCCGCTCTTTAAATCAGAAAATGTTCAACGTGCTAAAATATACAAATCTGCTGTGGGTGATGATAATTTTCTGGTCACTATTACCTTTTGTTATTCAACAAACACAATGCATATGCAGGGTCCAGGAAGCGTGTTATGGTTGTAAAACTATATATTAAATCACGTAGAAATCTCAGTGAATGACAGGTCCTAAGGTTTTCACCTCTCAGCCAAAAGCTTTCGCCTATGTTGCAGAGTTGCAAATAAAGGCAGCTTAAATGGCAAATAATTAAACTTATGTTTCAGTGAGTCACAAACAACACCAGTCATGCAATAAGGACGAAAATTAAGGAAATACATATTGGTGTAGAAATAAAACCAAAACATGCTCCGACAATGCACAAACAATGCATGTACCTTCGTTCAGGAGACAAAAAAGAAGAAATACAGTCTAGTGTTGGTTCAAGTCATAAACACAGGTGCAGGTAATCATCCCCACAGAGCAATAGGTACCATCCAAGGCCACATTACCAGGGACAGAAAGCCACTTATAGCGGAAAGACTCAGCGCTACTAAACAAAATAAATATTTTGGAGACAATCGTGTACTCACTCACAAGGAGCCAAAATTACAAAAATTACAGAAGTTGAATTTGACTCCATGCAAGGCATTTATAATGGTTAACTGTAACAGTGATTACAACTGTGGTCACTCGATGAAGACAATAATTTAATATTTATTGTACTGAGTCCAGACCTACTGTAATTAATGGTTATGGTGGACTATGGTCCCGAAGAGATATTATAGTAAATATAGTCAATTCACTTTTGCCGTCCATGTGCACACCACCTCAAAGTTGCTGCATCTACTGTGGGCAAGAAAGACACCTCACTGATGTTTACAGGCATGGAAAAAAAATACAGTGCAATTCTTGTAGCTGGTATGGCCACAGAGGGAATTAAAATGCCATTAAGCAAGACCTTCTGAAATCGACAAAGTGAACTAGCTTTACAGAGTCTAACTTTCAACGCATTTTCATGTAAGAAATGGACTTGGAATTTTAAAAAAAAACGTTTCCATTTCGATGTATTAACTGGGAATAGATCTTTAACAAATGTACGATTCTGTGGCGTTTTTAACATTAATTTTGCTCCAGCAGTTTAAACATTTCTGGAATAAAGTAAGTTTGCTTAACTTGTAATTTTGGAGTCTGTTAACTAAAACAATTGAGTATAAATAATTGATTTTCAAAATAAACTGCACGCAACCTGCAGGGTTGCTCAGAGAAATGTTTATATAAATTATTTTTTATATCGCTGTAAGCTTGATTTGGTAAAGTATAAGCTTGAATTGGGTACAATTTATAATTGTCTTAATGCAACATCAGTTCGTGTATTTTTTTAGATACCTTGTATAAGCTTAATGCAAAATCGATGTCCTCTCTCGCACAAGTACATTTTGATGACTTGGGGTACACCAAGTTTCACAACGATTTAACTTTCGTGGTCTTGTAGTAGTTCACACAAAAATCTTAAATGTGCACGGATTAAATCCATTCTTATTTACTCCAATGTCAAGAAAACTGAATAATATTCTTACATGTTTATATTTAGCTCTTTAAGTTTGGTTTATGTTCTGGAATACTTGGTCACATTTACATCCACATGTTCACATGATTGTTTATTGAACATTCATAATTAAAGAACCATTTTATTTTGCTTCATTTGTAATTAGACGACTATTCATTGAAAACTACAATGTTAATTTTCTTGGAATTATATCCAAATCAGCAATTTTATGAAGTATTCGTTACATATAAATATTAATTGATACAAGCTTGACGTCGAAATAAATCAAAAGACGAAATTCATCTGATATCGTAGGATACGGGTTCGGTAGCCAGCCCGGGGAGTATGAACCTTATGATACACGTTAGGGTCAGGTGCAGCCAGAACCTAATTTAAATTTATATAAATTGTTATAAAAATTATTTTTGATTATTTTCAAGAAAACAAGCAAAATGAAGATGACAGTGATTTGACCTTACAGGGTTAAACTTCTTTCCACTTGGGAAAAATTCCTTGAGATCGCTTATTGTTTGGGGTTTTTTTTACACGATTAAATCGTCGCATTCCATTCCTTGATAATAAACTTACACTAAAAAAAAACCTCGAACAATTATGAACCTTTGATTCATTATATTAATTTGCTTCACTTACCATGTTTTTACGAGGAAAATAATAAATAGTGTTACAATAAGTGGGTTGTTTTCGTGTTCCCTACCTGATCAATTGTTGAGTTGCATGGTAGGTAAAAACAATATGTGCCAAACGTAATGAACAATGTTCTGTTGTAATACAGGAGAGGCTGAAGTTTACTTGTAATTAGATGATTAAGAACCTGCCTCTAAAGATGTGATGAGATTGTTTTCTCATAATTAATGGAAGAAAAGATAACTTAAATTGTATTACAATACATGTCACTTTGCTTATTTCCCTTTAATTCAAAGACTTCGTGATCTATCGAATTATTGATTAAAGGCGGTTACAGGTGGGGTTTTATTTACAGGTGTGTATTCGATGGCGTTTCCCTAGTTGCGGCTATTGAACAGAACCAGTTTGATTGGTATAATCGGAGGAAAATTATAATAAACATTTCTGGAGAGAGGAGCAACCACTAAGAATTAATTAGCATTTCTCTTTGTGTCACACATATGTCAGGTACGACTGTCACAGGTTAGATACACGTATAAAGGAACCTTCGTAAGGTGACCGTATATTCTTCAGGTTAGAAGTGTAAAATTTATTCAGGTAAGTAGTGAAATATTATAATTTTTAGTGAAACATTATAGTTTAGTGCAACATTGTAAATTATGGGACAAAAAATATGGTTTCTTTCACTCCGACTCGCACGCACGCACAGACACGGGCTTAAACATAACTGTACTACTGTCCTATCCAAAGACACATCGGCCTCATTAACACTTTTATGTTGTCAGTTCGTCAATTTGCCTGCTTGTCCGCCTGTCAGTCTATCCGGTCGTCGATATGTAAATCAGTCTACATAAAGTATGTTACTTGCGTCGTTACTTGCATATTTGGTTTATTGGTGATACATGTGTATCTGTCCTTGTCTGTCCTATTTTACAAGAGCTATGATTAAAAACGGTAAAAATGTTGGTAAATATACAACGTTCCATTCCAACTCAAACTGTACAATACAGCTACCCTTCCTCAGCAACTTTATTGGAACATCAGGCCAAAACCAACGAATTTCACCTCTTCATTCATCCTGACCAACTTCCTTATTAACTTTATTACATACACATAGACTCTTATCCTTGCTTACAATTTAAGTTTCAGTGATATGATACTATAAAATAATATTATTACTTTATACTATATGTAGGACTAATCGTTACATTTGTATCAAATGTGACATAGATGTATGTTTCTATGCATCACAGATGACACTCCATAAGGTCAAAGTTTTTGTTTTCGTTGCCGACCCTAGCGCCCCCCCCCCCCCTCATTTTTAAGCTTTAAAAAATACTGAAATTGATTTGTGCATCTAATTGTATCGGTTTTCCACAGTAAATTAATGTAACTAAATGTTGCCTTTTGATATTATTAAAGTCTTCTTAAAAATATTGGTCTTGTTGGACAGCATTTCAAGTTTACTTGCGCAGCAATTTATTTGTTTAATAAAGTCTCATCAATGCAACTATGTTTTATTTTTGTGTTTTCTTAAGTGGTTAATAATGTCTTATGGCCGTTGTTTAGGTCGAGCTGTTCTTAAACTGCATCCAGGTTTTGGAGATTTTTATAACAAGGGTCATAATATGAAATGCAGAATGGGAAATATATCGTAAGACATGGAATATTAGTTATGCCACTCTATCAAAGACTTCCACGCCACATGCCAATACTTGTCACAGACACATAATTAACACATTTTAATATACATACTCAGCAACGAGAACACCAATAGGTAAGGATACTTTTTTTACAGTCCAACGAAGTACATAAAACGCAACTAGATTCGGCGCTCGTTTGTTGTACATTTTTTCTTATTACAATAATGATATTTTCGTGATTCTTTTGTGAATTATTTCCACGCCAAAACCACGTCTGCCAAAGGTCCTGAGGTGCCCAAACCCATGAGGCCTTCATAGGTGCCCCGGGAGCCATTTACCCTTAGTACGCCACTGTTGTCGCCCTTTCGATCGTGGATGCCAGATCAGTATAGCATTGTCTAGTGGTTAGAGCGTCCGCCTTGGATGCGGGAGGTCGCGGGTTCAAAACCCGGTCAAGTCATGCCAAAAACTTATAGAATGTTATTAACAGGTTAGTGTTAGGACTGTCCGGTCTTGTGTCAGAATAATGTGATTATAGGTGGAGCATCATGCTACGTGTCTATATCATTATACCCCAGTGCTAGACATCACTATAAACTGCCACACAGCAGCGATATGACTGAACGATTGTTACAGCTACGTTAAAAATCCAAATCACACAACACACGCACATACATACACACACATACACGTACTTGAGCTTTTAGAAACGCTGATATACTGGCTGTACTCGCTTATAAGTTGAATCAAACTGCCAGTGACCAACATTCTGATCTACCATAGCATAAAGCGCCTGCAAACCATGGTCTATGATAAATGTTCTATTGATTACTCCGAGCAAGCAAGCTGCACATAACCAGGTCTGTCGGCGCATTATGCCTCGATTTATAAGCAGGTACAGACGGTCATGGATGCAACATGGGAAATATGAGCAGATTGGTGGGTGTAATACTTGAGATAAAACTCGGGTCCTACGTTTGTCTAAGCATACAAATGTATACTGGCAGCTCCAGGTTCGATTCTCAGTAGAGGACCAAATTTAGTTCTTGATTCTGTAGGCCGTACGTGTGTGTATGCTTCATGGGTCTGTGTATGTGTTCTTCTGTGCTTGCGCGGTAGTCAAAACCACCTCTGGTGTGGTTTGACTATTTTATGGCTCAATAACGATTTTAAGGTTATATCGTGCCTAGGCATGTAGAGTAAATTCTCCTGAACGATACACCACTGTAACCGATCTGGTAGTATGATTCAAACATGCACCCTTCTGATCACGATTTCACCGCTTTAACCACATGGATGCTGAGACTTGGTTAAAACTCTCATGCTTAATACTGGAAGACCACAATGTATTCCTCCAAACAAATTTGTAGAATAAATAGAACCATATGTCTCTCAAAATTTAGGTTCATAAAGCTAGTTTTACGATGTTCCTTATAAGAATATCAAACTTAATTTGAATCATGTTATGCTTGAGACGAATGGAAGTAAATGTTTTGGTTTTCTATACTTTTTAACATGTCTTGCACACAATGATAAAGAGACAATTGTATACAGACATTGTTTAATGTGTTACTCACGCTGTGTTTAAGTCAATTTGTTATAGGTAGAGAGCATGGAAGACATAAACAATATATAACCCCCTTTTAGTTATCAGAAGGAGAAACCAGACGGAACCTGTATAGCTTCAGCCAACTAAAGGATTTAAATATCACGACATCGCTTATGATTGGTTCGAGCGATTTTTTTGCGGATATATTATTTTTTTGGTTAGCTGGTTCATGTATAATGTATTCACTAGATTATACCGTCCCATGGCAATCTGAATTGTCTTGAGCGGATTATGTCCAGAATTGGTCTGAGCAGGACTGGAACCGGTACCTTTAAGGTCACGATTCCGTTACGGTAAACAGCGTTCTACCACGCTCCTCTCCAAAACTGCCAAAACATTGATTCTAAACTTTATTTACGAATGAAGAAAGCAATACAACTAAAAGTGCTTATCATTTCCGACCAATAAGTCATTGAAAAAGTGCATGTCTGTAGATATTCTCAATTCTCGTCCTTCAAAAAGAGACCTGATTCCTACGTGGTTTCCTGTGTGTTCGTGCAAGCATGTTTTCTGTGGTGTATTATTGTTGAAAGTCTTGCTGCAGTTGGACAGTGTAATTGAACAAAATGTAAAAAGGCTGGTTAAACTTGGACTTGCTCGCTAGGTTTTGTTAGTTGACTTTGATAAACCCGAATAATGGAAATAATATTATCTATATAATCTCACCACACTATTCTTCGCTATGCTTTCCATTTAAATGCAATAGCTAATCCTCAGAGGTGTACATAAACACTGCATTCAATATATGCTCCAGTATTAATATTTAATCATTGCTTTTATAGTTATGTGTATACAGATTACGCTATCTTGGATTTTAATACATTGATGTACCGCCATAACCCCTTCGATTTTTTAAAGTAGATCTAAAACGTGTCATTTGTTAAATTAAACGTACTCAATAACCATGTTCTCGCGTTATGTTATTATCAATTCATTTGGTGGTTCAGAGATAATTTTGCCTCACCCCCCCCAAAAAAAAAATGTATCAGCAGGTACAAATGCAGCCCGTAATGCATTGACAATAACATCACCTGGGCTTATAATGTCCAACATGTACAACATCACGCATCAAAGCAGTGGCATCACTAGGAGAAGCGGACCGCACCGGGTGACACCATCAGAGTGGGAGACATTAAAATGACTGTCTTTAAAAATTTTGAATTTTCGTGCAAGAAGGACGTCTATGTGGGTTACTCCATGAGTTACCGCACATGACTATGCATACAGGTTCGAAATTTTTGTACAGGAAGGAGGTCAACGGAGGTGACACCATGAGTTACTGCACTGGATGACACCAATCCTAGTAACGCCACTGCATCAAAGATTTATTAAATGATTTTACATGTGCTTACTTAAAATGAAACAATGTTAATAATAATTGCGAGCTAATCTACTAGTTTCAATAATTACATTCAGTGAAATGAGTGCAATGTGAGCTTCTTTGTGTCACGCGACGAAAATCATAAGTTAAATTTGATAAAAGCGCAAATTTGTAAATTGAAATTACTGTTGGATTCTTACCTAATCTAAGTTTTCCTATTTTTTTTTTCTCATAAGGCTGAAAGTGTTGAAGTCATGTAATAACAGTGATTTTATATTATACAAGTACTTTTATTATAGGAATTTTGTGAAAGATGGTTTTTCATTTGACGGCAACAATTCACGTAATATGTAACATTTCTCGATGTCGAATGGTCATTATCAATCGTTAGATCCTCTGCACTTTCATCGCGTGCTTAAAAAAAAACCTGTAAATAAGGGCTCGCTCTACAGATATTATATACGTGTGAGAGCATAACAGGTATAAAGTGCAGTTGTTTGAATTTGCAACGTGCACAGTGAGATAATGTTGGCATACCTCTGTACTTTCATGTCTGTTGATAAAATTTCTGTGGATATTATACTTGTGGAAATTGTAAATGATATAAGTTGCAACTAACCAAGATGACTGCTTCTACGTGATGTACAAAACAGCCTTAATTTGTCCATAGTACATTATCTTTAGCAGTTATTTAAAAAAGGGAAAATAAATTTTGCCAGACTATACAATACCAGCATCTGGAAGTGCATGGAATGACTTACAAAATCTCTTTTTTAAATTTATCTTCGAAATCCAGGAAATGTAAATGACCATGCTGAGCCAACAGTTTTTATTTTTAAACAGATGCACATTTGAAGTATGGCCAAGCTCTGTGCACTATAACCCAATGTACATTCATCAATCATACACCAACATAATGGGAATTAAAAGTTCTTTCAGCAATACCTAATATTTGCAAGGTCTTTTATTTAAAACGACCCGGAAAACCAGTCATGAAATCCTGAGAAATTCTTTTGTTTAAAGGAAGAAATCTCTCACGATGCAAATTACAAAACTGTTGAGTACCACCTTAAGTCTATTTAGCACTGCCCTCAATCATATGGTTATTATAACGTCAAAATACTCAAAAACGTTAAAATTAATAGACACTATGTCATCAACAACAGCAACGCAAACAATAATAGCAGGTAACTGAAACCAAATTATTTCTTCAGTGTCTAAATTACAACGTTGCTGCATTATCATTAAAGTCTAAATGTGAAGGTATTTAACTGACTGCTGAAATGTTGTCGAGTGTTCTTTTTAAAACTATCATATTATAAGACCCAGTTTTTCGCACATCTAGCCTAATGTTCTTCCGCTAAAAAGTTAACAATTTCGGAAGAATCATTTCGATTCAATACAATTTTCTTTCAAGAAAGACATGAGGATGTTGCGAACGAGTCATTATCTTCTTGCATCATTGACTTTACGTGACGTCATAATGTTCATTTCTTGGCCTCTTAATTTTAAATGATATTCTGAAGCAAATTAAATTATTTTATTTCTCTAACATACATCCAGACAAATCTCTAATTCATGCGATAAAACCCTTTTTAAGATGATTAAAGTTTTTTTGCGTTGATCGATATGAGGTTTACTGGTTCATAAAATTTCATATCAAGCTTATCAGAAGTAAATAATCGAATACTAAACCTAATGTCAATTATAGCATGTAATAAAAACACTCACATGGCATAGCAATATGTTCATCCAAGAACACGTGATTGTTTCTTTGTTTATATGTATAGCCAGTTGTGTAATAGTGTCCACCCACGAAAGGCTATTAAAAAAGACAAAAACATATGTAAATATATTTGTATAAATTACACACAATATTATCAAAGCACGCTTCTATGCATGCAAGCATAAATTTGATCATTTTACGGTAATGTGTTCCAGCTTAATTTGCTAAGTGTTTTGCTCATTGTTTCAAGTTTTAGAAGTATAAATGAATATGAAACTTGCAGTAACAAAGATAATATTGTATCCTCCCAGATAAGACCATTCTTTCTTTTGACTGCTGAGTGTTGAAACCATCTCGATACTCTTCAGCAAAGACAATATTTTCACTTTAGCTTCTGTGGTGACCATATTGGATGTCAGATTGACACCATTTTCAGTCAGGACTAAATAGACCTCATTAGAGGTCTTTTGGTGCAATCAACCATCCATTCTGGGATAGTACAAGATACTCGAGACAGGCGTCAGGACAGCCGCATTTGCCGTATGAATGGCACCATTTCCATTTCGGACCAAGTATCACAAGGAGTCCTTTAGGTGATATTATTTGTTAATATAACCATCCGTTTTGAAAAAGTAGAAATAGCAATATTTTCAAGATGGTAACTAGTGGCAATATTGAGGATCAGTTTGCATAATTTTCATTTAGAACTAACATGACACCATACTATTTATCAAATCCTTACACCCCTGAAGGCCAAACATACCAATGTGTGACATGTGCAACTTTTGGTTATTTTTTTTTTTAAACC